CACTTTTGCTTTGTAATGTGGAAATCGAGGCTGGGCCACGCCCCTTATCTGCTCGTCTTACAGACGTCAACCGATCTCTGTCGTGGGAGGACGGAGGCGAGCAGAAAAGGGATATGGCACTGTCCAGCCATCGTATATATGCCCTTTCTCAAACCATCTTAATAATTGAATAAGGTTAACAGTGCTCAATCGAGGCGCTTTACCTTGGACGTAAATAAACGTTGCTGTCTGAACTCTCTATACATTTCTTTTTTTAAGGGCGGTAAACATGTTGATCACATTATTGATCAAATAGTGAACATCATTAAACCTCTGGTTGATCCGAATCTGAAAAATGGCATCAAGAAAATAGTGGTGAGTTGAGTTTTTGTCCACCATTGCTGACACGCGCGACACGGTCGCGTAGCGACTGAAAAGGCGTGGCTACTTATTGAAATTACTGCTGTCCCTCCTAAATCAAGAACTTTCAGATCAAAAATCATCTGTGCGTCTTTGTCAATGCCCTGATTGAAAACCCAGCATTCAGTAGCCAGACAAAGGACATCCTCACTACTTCAGTATCGGATTTTGGTTCCAAATGCGTAGTGGACGTGACTACAGTGAAGGAATGGGCGGAGCGAAGCGGCCTTGTGGAGGAGTTGATGAGCGATGCGTTGGCAAGAGAGGCACTTTTTTGTGAATATGGTTTTTGGTTTCTTGGTAATTCTCAGGATCAGGGAAAAATGATTCCCAGTGTCGCTTTCTTTTTGTTTTATGCGGCTCATGAGAGTTTCTTCAAGGGACGACCGGCCAGAAAAAGGAAGAAAGTTACTGTGGTCGAGGATTTGTCGGACATCGTCAAGCTGGAAGATGCTAATTGGGCAGGAGATGGCGATCGCTCAGAGGAATGTCGCCTTCTGATAACTGAGGGTGAGTGATGATTCAGTGCTTTGGGGCACTGACGGAATGGCTAACGAAAGCCTCCGGGTGTGGAGCATTACTTGCCAGAGACGGCGAGCGGAACGAAATAGGCATTGCAGGTGCGGTGAGGACACAGCATTTCATACGCAGCAGTTGGCAGCTCGATTCCTTCTCCATAGGACCTTTTCCTGGCGGTTTGAGCCAGTAGGTGCTTTAGCTAAAGGTAGTGCGGCAACCCCAGCGTCATTGGTGGAAGGGGACTGCTGTCCCGCCTCCTTGCCAATCCACGCACTCACTTCAGAAGGCCAAAAGTCCATCTAGCTAGTAGGGCTCGGGGGCTCCTCGACGACAGCAACCATGTGTCGTCTTCAAATAGGAGCTCCGTTAGTACCACGTTGAGCGCGACCTCGTCAGTTCGAGAAACCGCTCGCCCACCCCCGATCCCGCGCGGATTACGTGTGTTCTCGCACCAGGCCTGGAGCTCATTCCCAGGGACGAGAGACGGCGACGTAGGCGAATTCGTGATCTGAAGCCGTCAGATGCCCAGTCCTTATCACTGTCGCCGTCTCCAGCTTCTCTTCTGCAAGCCAGATCGGGGTCTACAGCGGATCCTACTATCCCCTCCCCGAACTCTCCCCCCCTCCCCTTCCTTCCCTACATCGACAGGGTACTGTCAATATCCAGTATGGTCAGAGCACGGCATTTTCACGGTCATTATATCTCACATCACTGGCAAGCTGCGCCCCTAGCCTCCGCTTCACCCGCTTCAGGAAGTGCCCTGGGCCTTGGGTGCGGGGGGTTGAGCACCATTCTGTGAAGCTGCCAAGTCAATGCTATCAGTCCTCCATCATCAAGTAGCCCGTCGAGATGCGTCTTCATCCGGTATCGGCTGAACCCGCGAAATTCCGCTCCAAGAATCCAAGAGAACAAGAATGCATGCCGCGACAGTAGAACCAACGCCCGCGAACGCCACCCCCTTTCACCTCTTGATATGTATTTGAGGCATTGGTTGAGTTGACGAAGTATTCAGCTGCGGGACCGGGGGTCGGCGGGCCGCGTGGGGCCTTGGGCGTAATCCAGGTCATCATCGGGCTTCAAGGCAGCTAGGGGGTGGGGGGTGATGGGGGGGGGGGCGACAGCGGAGTGTGCCCAGTGTGACATCGAGACGGACCTATCGTCTCTAGTGTCACACGGTTTAAGATATACCACAAGCAAAGAGCCCGAGTTGCTGCCCTATCCTTTTCACTAGGGTGCAAAAAATATTGAGTTCAAACTTCCACCCTGGTCTGAAGCTGCTGCGTCCACTTGCTAGTAAACGTACGATGGACCCCAGCATCTTTCGAACACATTACAATTACAGTCTGTAGAGCTTTTCGGTCTTTTAGTGTCAAATTTTAGCGATTTTCCCAAGGCGGCAGGGATCTGCGGAAAGCGCTGGCTCGAGAGGACCAGTGTCCCCCGGCGGACGGAGGATCTTATGGTGTCCCTCTTCCAATAACTTTGGGGTAAACTCTTACCAATACCGCTCCCGGGACTGAAACATCAGTGGCCAACTCTCACGAACTGTAAAGCAGCGCTGGCCGTCGTGCTCTGGGATAGGAAAGCGCCGGGTAAGAGGAAGAGAAGGTAAGTATGATTCTATTTGATTAAGGATCACAAAATTACTTATGGAAGCTACTCAGTTCAGACCAACATCCTTGATAAAAGGCTCCTTTAATGGTATCGTCATGGGCGGCGCGGCCGGGGCAGGCTTTTCTCTCAATGATGCCAGTAAGCTGGCTACAGGAGGTGGGGAAAGCCGCCCCAGATCCGTCACCCCTCTCCCAGCCCTATCGTTCGCAGGAATCATGACTGTACTTCCAATACAGTAAGATGAGGGGCGCGCGCATATAAGTGAGGCACGATAGCTCGGTGTGTCTGCCCACTTCTCAGCTATGTCCTCCAGTGTGTTTTTAGCATCCAAGTAATTTGTGTGAGAGCGGTTCGCTGACCTCGGAGAATACTTTCTTCAGCTTGGGCAGACTTCAGTGCGTGTGATGCAGTACTTGATTGCAGTTTCCAAAGATTAAGATTTCTGAAAATCATCACTTGAATGGCTTGGAATCCTGGTCATGTAGGACGGTTGATGCTATCTTCAGGCAGGGATGGCCTGGCCATTCCTGAATCAGTGCGTTTCGTACTTCGGTGAGGCGCAGCGGGGGAGGCGGGTTCGTATTTAGTCGCTGAAGGGAGAAGGGGGTCTTCGTGTTCGAGTTAGGTTTTTAGTTGTTCATGGTTCGGTCTCTCCTGTTTAGTGCGCTACCTACCCCCTCCCTCCCTTCCTTCCTGCTTGACGGCAGTTTTTTTAGGAAAGGTACAAGTGGAGGATTTGGAAATTTCGGAAGGTGGTAATTAGGAACGACGATTAAAAAGGGGGAGAGGGCGTCGTATCGGAGGAAATTTTGAGAGAGTCGTATCTTGAAGTAAACTGGCCTTCAATTGTGCTCTGCTCTCCTGTGCTTCAATACAGTCAATCGCTTCCGCTATTTCATATATACTACGAGTGCACGGCGCATCCGCAAAGTTTGGAAAACGTCGTCTATTTCAGTGTTTCAGGCGAACTCTGCGAAAGAAATCCATCATTTGGTACGAATTCTCGGTTTGAAGTATGGTGTAGACTATTCGGAGCCGAAGAATCGAAGAACGTTACGGTATGGCGGAATAATCATACTTACTGATCAGGTCAGTTCTAGGATCTGCGTAAGCGATTTTTCAAAGACTGAATCGCGGATTCCAAGTTAATTCTTATGAAAGCTACTGTTCAAGGACGAGGATGGATCTCATATCAAGGGTTTGATTATCAATTTCCTTCACACATTTTGGCCACAACTGCTTCGTAACGGATTTGTGCAGTCATTTATGACTCCTCTATTGAAAGTAAGTAATTTTCTCTTCAAAAGCTTCCACACCATATCTCGAAGATAGTTGGGGTGTGGTTTCGTACTTCCCTCAAACATGTCCTTTTGTGGGATATTTCCGTTTGCGACGGACATTGTTTCTTGGGCTGGACGCAAGCGTCATTATAGTTGTCTCAAAACGGAGATATGGCACCAAAAGCAAAATCGCCGTCACGGTTCGAATGTGGTGCTCACCCACGCCCCCCTCCTCCCCATCTCCATCTCGGAAGACCGGAAAATAGTGTATGTTTCAGGCTGATCTCATGGGTAGCAAGAGATTTACACCGTGCACCTTTTATTTCTTATCAGCGACTCTTTCCACGTTCCCATAAAAGAAGCAAGGTCTCATCAATAGTGGGTCTAAATACAATTCTGGGTCACTGACCGCAGTCCCGCCATACGATCGGGCGTGGACTGTGTTTTCGAACTCCCGCCCCCCCCCCACCCAATGTAGTGTCACCCTCGCTCTTGTAATGGACCTAGTACATGTGGGGTTACTTTAGTATTTTCACGGCGCGGAGATTGTCGGTAAGTATTGTCGATAAGACCTAAGCGCCAATGCCGTACAGACTTCGCGATGACACAGCCGCGTCCCCGCCCCGCCGCTATACCACCTGCTTTGCAATCGACAGCGCTGAGAGCACACAGCAACCAGCGCTCCAGTGCTGTAGACCTAGAGTGCACAGCCATAAAAAAGTATTGATCGCACGGGCCCGCTACTGCTTTGGAAGCGAGTATGAAAAGAGTAGAGCGTATCGCGTTCCTCACCGCAGAGAAAGTACAAAGGTGAACGTTGCCTAATCACACCCTCAATCTGTACCCCATTTTCTCTGGCTAAACACTACACAAACACGCATGCGAGCGTCACGATATGGTACATGTCCATCGGCGTTCCGGACTAATTACACCTGAGTACCGTTCGAACGCCCGCCGTAACCTCTAATTCAGCGGTGAGGCTTGCGCGAAGACCGTATCACAAATCCAAATCGGTTCTGGCGGCAACGGCCCTGGTAATGACAACCCTCTGAAGCCAAAAACTAAAGTACGCGCACTGCTTAGAACCCAGCTCGCGGGCAGGGCTTTATATTGCCTAGGAGGAGGGGAGTTGCAGTCATGGGAATACATGTAGTATTAAGGGAGATTTCCCCCCCCCCGCTCCCCACCATTTTTATCATCCTATATATACATCCCCTTACATTCCCTGCCTCTCTATGAGTCTTATGGGGGAGTGAGGTGGAGTGCTGAGAAATAAGGGGAGAATCATGTTGAGGAATTTTCCCCATCGCAATGATGTGTATGGTCACAATAATGATTGCATTCTAGTAAAAGGAATGCAGCTTTCACAAAAGCGATGAAATGAAAGGGTCTGGTGTGTCACCAAATGTCTTTTATATAACCCCTGTCATGACCTTGCACTTGAATTCCAGGCTCGTCGTGGATCTGAGGTTATCAGTTTCTATTCGATGAAAGAGTTCAACCGATGGAAAGAAAGCACTCAAGATGCTGAAAAGTTCACCGTCAAATACTACAAAGGTTTAGGTAGGTTGTTCGTCAGATTGTACTATTTTAAGAGCTACGGCCATACTTCTATTTCTACTCAGGGCGGGATTCCCCAACAGGGGGGGGAGCGTATTTGGTCGCTGCAGGAGGAGGGATCGTACTTCGTCTGAGAAAAAAAATTTCAGATAGTTGATTTTTTTTGTTCCAGGGACCCCATAAAGAGGGGAAGCTTTTTGCTTGTTGTTGGGAGACTGGGAGACGTACTCTTGCTTTCTGATCTTTTAAGAGTTCTGAGAGAGGTCGTTGACTCTTCGTGGTTTTTCCCTGTTTCATGTGTCCTATTCCTCACCCCCCCCACCCGACAATTCGATGAGAAGGTAAGAGGAAGGGGTCGTACCAACCCTCCTGAAAAGCGGGGGGGGGGGTCGTACGGACTCGACGAAAATCCCCAATTAGTGATGTGCCCTGTTTCCACTGCTCAAAAATTCCTGCTTCACTTGGGCGGAGTCAATCAATACGTACTTAACCTTCTCCACGGCTTCTGCGATTCTGCTGTGGCGCAGGATATGACTGTGGCCTCGCCAAGTTTGGAGGGATGTGATGGCTACCAAACAGTCATCGGGAAGGGTAGTAATATTACATTTTTTCTGGCCGTGCTAAATTTGCCTTT